TACTTCAGTGAGGGGAGGCGCCGAGAGATATTCAATCACTACCAGCTGAGGAAGCTCACCCTGGAGGAAATTCGCATCATGCTAGAGGAGGAAATGAAAAAATGGGCCCCCATCAAGTTCCCAGCCATGAGAGGTAGCGTCAGCGCTTACCACCTGATGGAAACAGGTGTCATTGACAAGGCCCTGTTTGAGAAGGTGTTGGAGGGATCTGTCACACCAGAGCAAGTCCTGCACATGGACTCTGTCAGAAAGTACCTCTATGGCTCTGGCAGCATCGGGGGGATCGTACTCCAGCCATCAAACCAGAGAATAAGCATTTACGAGGCCATGAAGAAAAACATCATGGTACCAGGAGTAGCCCTCCCACTGCTAGAGGCCCAGGCTGCCACAGGCTTCATCATTGACCCGGTGAACAACCAGAAACTCTGTGTGGATGATGCCATCAAGGAGGGAGTCATTGGGCCGGAAGTCCATGAGAAGCTGCAGCACGCAGAAGGGGCTGTAACAGGCTATAAAGATCCTTTCACAGGCAAGAAGATACCCCTCTTCCAGGCGATGAAGAAGGGCCTGATTGCTGACAAACAGGCCATGCAGCTGATGGAGGTGCAGATGGCTACTGGAGGCATCATTGACCCAACATGTGGCCATTATATCCCTGTAGAGTCTGCCCAGAAGAGAGGGTGCCTGGATGAGGACACAAGCAAGGCCCTTTCTAAGCCCAGTGACAACAACAGAGCCTTCTGCGACCCGGAGAGCAAAGAGACCGTGACCTATGCCGAGCTAATCAAGCGCTGCCAGAAGGATGAGATCTCCGGCTTCCACTTGCTGCCTCTACCACAGACAGCTGCTCCTGCCTACACTGACGAACAAATCCAACAGATTTTTAAGGAAACTGTGGTGAAGGAAAAAGGGGTCTCCCTCTGGGAGCTGGTCCATTCTGGGTATTTCACCGAGGAGCAAAGGAGTGACTTCATGGAGAAGTTCCGGTCTGAGGAAATGTCGCTGCAGCAGCTGGTTGCTCTCGTGCTCAGATTGGTTGGGGAGATGGAGATGAAAGCCCGCACCCAGATCACCTTGGAAGGCTTGCGGGGCAGTGTCCCGGCAGTCTGGCTGCTGGACACTGGCATCATTACTGAGAAGACGTTTGAAGAACTGGCTCAGGGCATAAAAACTCCCGAGGAAGTGGCTGCGATGGAGAGTGTGAGGAGGTACTTGCAGGGCACAGGCAGCATTGCCGGGGTGTTCATAGAGGCATCCAAAAAGAAGATGACCTTTTACGATGCCATGAAAAACAATCTTCTCCTCCCTGGGGCTGCTCTGAGGCTGCTAGAAGCTCAGGCAGCCACAGGAGACCTAACTGACCCGGCAACAAACCAGAGACTCAGCGTGAGGGATGCCGTGAAAGCAGCTGTTGTTGGCGAAGAGCTCACCGAGAAACTCCTTCTCGCTGAGAGGGCGGTGACTGGCTACACAGACCCCTACACGGGGAGTTCCATCTCACTATGCCAAGCGCTCAGGAAAGAGCTGATTCCCCTGGGAGACGCTGTTCCCTTGCTAGAGGCCCAGCTGGCCACAGGAGGGGTCATTGATCCCATTCACCACCATCATCTTCCACTCCAGGCCGCGTGCAGGTATGGCTTCTACGATGAGGACCTGAACCAAACCCTCTCTCAGCTGAATGACAGCACCAAAATCTTCTTTGATCCAAACACAAAGGAGAACGTGACCTACCAGCAGCTGAAGGACAGATGCATTCAGGAGGCTGAGTCAGGTGTCTGGCTCCTTCCTCTCTCAGAAGATGCCATGTTCTGTGTGGATGAACAAACCATGGAGGTGCTGAAATCTGTGACAGTTTGTGTCAACATAGGGAGGTTCAAAGGACAGACTGTGTCAGTCTGGGACCTTCTCAACTCTGAATACCTCTCAGACAGCAAGAGAAGAGAGCTAGTGCAGAAGTACAAAGATGAGAATACTGAAGTGCTACACGAAATCGTAACAATTGTCACCACAATCATCAAAGAGACTGAGACACATGGCAAGAAGTTTGCATTCAAGGGCCTGCGGAAAAGAGTATCCGCCAGTGACCTCTTCCAGTCTCAACTGATAGACAAAAAAACCCTCGATGAGCTCAACCAGGGGAAGAAAACAGTCAAAGAAGTCACTGAAATGGACTCTGTCCGCAGGTACCTGGAGGGCAGCAATTTCATAGCAGGGGTCCTTATACAGCCAAGCAATGAGAAGATGGGCATCTACCAGGCCATGCGGAAGGGCATCCTGAGACCAGGGACAGCACTGGTGCTGCTGGAGGCACAGGCTGCCACCGGCTACATCATCGACCCAGAGAAAAACAAGAAGTTTTCAGTGGAGGAAGCATTAACTGCAGGTCTAATTGGAGGGGAGATTTTTGAAAAGCTACTGTGTGCAGAAAGAGCCGTGACGGGCTACACCGACCCCTACACAAAAGCCCCAATGTCCCTGTTTGAAGCTATGAACCAAGGACTGATTGTGAAGAGCCACGGCATTCGCCTCCTCGAGGCCCAGATTGCCACCGGTGGCATCATCGACCCCGTGCACAGTCACCGCATCCCCGTGGAGGTGGCCTACCAGCGCGGCTACTTCAACCAGGAGATGAACCAGATCCTCTCCGACCCCACCGACGACACCAAGGGCTTCTTCGACCCCAACACCCACGAGAACCTCACCTACATGCAGCTCCTGGAGAGATGTGTCCAAGATTCAGAGACTGGGTTGTACATGCTACAAGTTGTAAAGGAAAGAGGAAAGTACTTTTACATTGATGAGTCTACAAAACAAGTTTTGCGCTCTAAGCCCCTTGAAGTGAAAATTGGAAAGTTTAAGGACCAAAGAGTTTCCATCTGGGAAATTCTCTGCTCTCATTACATCTCTGAGCAGAAAAGGAAAGAACTAGTGATACAGTACAAATGCAAAACCCTCACACTGGAAGATCTTATAGCTCTCATTCTCAAAATAATTGAGGATACCGAGCAAAGAGGGGAAGCCCTCAAGGTTAAAGGACTCCGGGGGGATGTGTCAATATCAGAATTGTTTAACTCTGAGATAATTGACAAGAAAACTCTAGATCAGCTGCAGGATGGGAGTCTCACGCTTGCCAGCCTCACAAAGAGGGACACCATCAAAAGGTACTTGGATGGCACTGGATGCATTGCTGGAGTTCTACTCCCATCAAGGAAAGAGAAGATGAGCATCTACCAGGCCCTGAAAAAGGGCCTCCTCACAGAGCCATGTGCACTGGGGCTGCTGGAGGCACAGGCTGCCACTGGTTTTCTCATTGACCCACTGAAAAATAAGAAGCTCTCTGTGAATGAGGCCGTCCTGTCTGGGCTGGTGGGCAGCGAGATGCACGAGAAGCTCCTGTCAGCAGAGAGGGCCGTGACAGGATACACAGATCCTCATGCAGGAAATAAAATTTCCCTCTTCCAGGCCATGCAACAAAAGATAACAGTCAAGGAGCATGGCGTCCGCCTCCTTGAGGCCCAGATTGCCACCGGTGGCATCATCGACCCTGTGCACAGCCACCGCCTCCCCGTGGAGGTGGCCTATCGGCGCGGATATTTGGATAATGATACGTTTCTCCTACTTTCTGATCCAGATCATGGTAGCAAAGGTTTTATAGATCCAAACACTCATGAGAAAATCAGTTACAGTCAACTCCTACAGAGATGTTCCAAAGACAGAGATACTGGATTGTACCTGCTGCAGATCATGGAAAAAGAAGATGGTTATTTCTACATTGATGAGCAAACAAAAAATGCACTATTATCTACAAAGGTAAAAGTGACTGTAGGAAAATACAAAGGACGTGTGTTATCACTGTGGGAACTCGTATGTTCTGAGTACATCACAGAAGACAAAAGAAAAGAACTGGTAAAAAAATATAAAGAGAAATCCCACCACATTCTGCAAGGAATCATTGAAACAATACTAAATATCATTAAAGAAAAAGAAGAGGACAGAAGTGACGTCTGGTTCCAAGGACTGAGACAACAAATAACAGCATCAGAACTCCTCAGCGCACAGATAATCACAGAAGAAACAATGGAAAAACTCAATGAAGGAAAAGAGACGGCCCAAGAAATAGCACAAATGGAAAGTGTGAGAAGATACCTTGAGGGAACTGGAAGTATCGCCGGCGTGCTGGTGCCCTCCAAGGACCACCCCGCCAAGATGGAGAAGATGAGCATCTACCAGGCCATGTGGAAGGGCATCCTGAGACCAGGGACAGCACTAGTGCTGCTGGAGGCGCAGGCTGCCACCGGCTTCCTCGTTGACCCGCTCACCAGCAAGAAGCTCTCCGTGGACGAGGCCATATCCTCTGGGCTGGTAGGCAGCGAGCTACAAAAAAAACTTCTTTCTGCAGAGAGATCTGTGACAGGCTACACGCACCCCTGCACAGGACAGAAGATGTCCCTGTTCCAGGCCATGAAGAAGGAGCTCATCGTCAAGGAGCACGGCATACGCCTCCTCGAGGCCCAGATCGCCACCGGCGGCATCATCGACCCCGTGCACAGCCACCGCCTCCCCGTGGAGGTGGCCTACCGGCGCGGCTACTTTGACCAGGAGATGAGCCAGATCCTCTCCGACCCCACCGACGACACCAAGGGCTTCTTCGACCCCAACACCCACGAGAACCTCACCTACATGCAGCTCCTCCGCCGCTGCGTGCCCGACCCGGATACTGGTCTTTTTTTCCTTAATGTTTTTAGCAAGTAATTGTTAGACATATTGCATGGTTTTTTGTTATTGCATTGGTGAAGAATTTAGTTATTGTGAATAGTTCCTTTGTTGTTGGTATTTTTCTTTCTTTTTTTAATTGTATTTTTTAAAAATCCAGTTCCATTCAGTGAATTTCCTTATTGTTCTCTTTCTTTTTCAGTAACTTACGCATATCAGGTACAGCTTTTAAGCGACTCCCCTGAGCGTTGTGGTAGAGTGTATTAAGCTTTTTTCTCCTGTAGTATTTCAGGAACACAGGAATCAGCCTGGGTCATCTCAGGTCGTTTTGTTGAAATATGTTGTCCTCGTTTTCCTCAGCCAAACTTAAATGGAACTATGTCTTTTGTGGTGTGTGAGGTGCAGTGAGAATGGTATTTTTATTCTCCTTCTAGTCTGTTTTCTTATGCATGAGGAACATTTTTTTTCTTATCAGATTTGCAGGGTGTTCTTAGAGTTGCAGGTTTTCAAACCTGAATTTTGCATGGAGAGCATATTTCTCTGTAGGCAGTACATCAGGGTGGTGTTATGGGTTCCTGAGGTGGGATTATGTGTGTTTACTCTTTATGGCTCAGCTTGTCTAGTTTTTCTGGGGTCATCTGGACTACAGACGCCCTCCGCTTAAAGTGGTTTGGTCTCTCAGCAGTACATACACTCAATTCGCTCTCATGCTGTGCTTCCCCTCCCTCCAATTCCCTGGCTCCCCATGGAGCCTCTATAGAGAGCTGTGCTGTGGGATACGCACAGGAGCTGAGACCCCGTGGGGGACGTTGTCGTGCCGTATCTCTCGTCCGTCCACCTGCGGTCAGGGGAGCCGGCAGCGGTGCGTCCATTCCCTCAAGCTGGCCTCTGGGCATTTCTCAGCTTCTTTTGCCGTCCTGTGTCCTGAGCTGACTCAGCCCACGTGCCACGCTCCGGGGGAGGAGGCAGCCCCAGAACCACTCTGCCGTAGAGTTCAGGGCTGAATAATTCTACCACTGTTTAATAGAAGGAAACTTACTCTCCTTAAACGCATTACCTTAGGCTATTTGCCTTAATTAACCCAGTAATGTCCTGGAAAATGGATTTTTTGCCACAGCTTGTAGAGCTGATAGCTAGATACAGGTATAGATTAGCCGTGGAACTCCTTACCGTAACCTGCCGTGTAGCCTGGAGATTTGCATGGGCTCAAAAAGTGATGGGGCAAACCAATGGTAAAGAAGTCCACTGAGGGCTGTTAAATGCAAAGACCCACCTCTGCCTCAGGAGGCCCCCCAGCCGCAGGTTACCCGGAGCTGGAAGGCAGGATCGGGGGTGTCGGTAGGGGCTCTCACTGCTCTTACGCTCTTTGTGTGGAGGCTGACACTCGGCAGCGTTGGCTGCAGCGCAGGGGAGACACGGCCCTCTGCTCTGGGTTGGCATAACCGCGACTGTCCAACCACCATCTGCATTACAAACATGGAGACACATCAGAAATGCCATAATTTACCTAAAGGGCCAGAGCGCAACGGGGAAGTTTTATAGCTCCCAGGCCTCACCTCACTCCGCACTGGGGTTAGTTCAGCTTCTTCCCACACAGACCTGCAAACACTAATGCCATCTCCAGAGAACCTCAATGATTCAGGCTCCCATGTCAGCCAAGAGGCTTCATATTCATCTTTGAGACTTCTGCTCTTTCCTGGAAATGGATTAGACAATGCTTCAGCCAAATCCAGGGTGAACAGCCAAGCTGTGTCCTTGACACACTCTAGTCCTGTGCCATCTCCAGATCTCAGAGCCCTCCACACCGCTACGGGGTCAGAGGCCTTGCTGTAAGAAACAAGGCACCGGCTGCTCTCATCCCGCTCCGTCCCGGCCATTCCTGTGCTCCTGCCCACAGCCCCTGCACTCCGACTGTCTCCTCTTCGTCAGTCTCTAGTTCCACGCCTTCCAACCTCCACCACACTTTTCACCCGATCTCCAGGTGCCCCGTTTCCCAGCAGCCTCATTCATTAGCTCGTGCCCTGGAGAGCCAGCAGTCCCCATGGAGCAGGATGGACACTTGCAGCCCTCCAGCTCTGGTTTAGACCTCCCCCTTTCCAGGGTCTCTTGTCTGGTGGTAAGCTCTGCCTGGCAGCTGCCCCATCTTTGTACTAAACCTAACCAATATAAGGCCATTTCTTGGTAGGATCTTCAGTCTTACACACCTAGCCAAAAGCCATTTAACTAAACCTAACTGAAAGCTCGTGGCTAATTTTTTATATATCCGCTAGGTTATACAAGAGAAAAGGAACCGAGAGGAAACCTCAGAGTATTCTGAAGTTCTCGGTCTCCCAGTCCTGAGCCAGAGCATCATCTGCCAGCTGTCAGCTCCTCAAAGCTCGGCTGTTGTCTGGATACAGAAAAGGCCAGTCTCACATGGAGATCAGGAATGGGAGGAGGACTGCACAGGATGAAGAGTGTGCACTAAGGAAAGCAGGACAGGGTAGGGTCCGGCAGCATGGGCCCAGCACTGAAGCCTGGCTGCCTTCCCCATGGTGCTGCTCCGGAGTTGCCAGGTCCATGTAGGAGCAGCTTATGGCTCTCCTCGGCAGGTTATGGGCAGGTGACACTGGAGAGTCCTCCGGTGGCGGGAGCAGCCTCCATGAGTGCCACGTTAGCCCAGCCCCGGGCTGGAGGCTACATGGCGGGTGCAGATGCAACCTGGGTAAAGATGGTCAGCCCTTCC